TTTCACTTTCTGCTCGTGTTCGGAAACGGGTAAATTTTTCAAATAACACAGAATATTAACCCAGCAGAAAGCAGCGACACTGACATATGTCACTCGAAAGGACGGCGGAATTAACAGAAAGTTAACGAATTGCACCGGCAGCCAGTATCCGCACGAAGTCTGAAAAACGAAAAGTATATGTAATTGCCATAATTTACACTTTTCTGATTCGGAAACGAACCTTAAAAGTGTGCACGAACTTAATCTTGCATTCTCGGAGGAGATCCGACTTGGCTTCCATTAAACTCATACCTGCAAGATTTTATGATTCCAATTATTACTCGATCGCGAAAACAATTAAGTGACCTTCACTTCATAAAAGCGCTCCAAGATACGAACTGATAAAGAATAAGATAAGCAACGGCGGTGTCAAGATAAATTGGTCCACCAAAAGCTTCTTTAGCACGATCTTCGTCGATTTGCCGCTGTAAAACGTATCCAGCCATTTGTACCTGTCGTCAATGTCTAAAATTAATTTCGCAAATTCATTACGAAAATTTGTATAAGCACCTTAACGACAGCTTAATGAACATCGTCGAGATACCATCCGTGTAGTATCGGTCCCGCCAAGAGGCAACCGAAGACCGCGTATCTCTTCAACTGCGGCCAGTTGTAAGTCGCTGAATTAACATTTTCATCCACCAGACCTAACGTCTCGCAAAGCTTTTGTACTCGAATTAATATCCGTCCGTTGACGTTCGAAGGAATTTCGGGCTCCGCGGCAATCGGTTGTATCGGCTAGACAAGATTACAAATCAGCAAACTCTACAAGTTACTACATCATTAACACGAATGACGTAGAAGAATTCCTCGTGCTCGACACAAAAGAATCCCAATGGGAATTTCACCTTGGACATTTTACTACTGCTTTGTCGGATGAATTCGGCGCTCGTGTAGAAGAAACCGTACACCATTGAATTGAACAGCAGGGGCCTCCTCTGCATAACGCCGTTTACAACTCGAAGAGTCTTTGTCAACATTTTTTTTATTTTACTTTACTATACAATCGCGACTTTTTACCACTTGTTTCGAGGCGCTTTGTCAAATAAGCTGTATACCGCCGCTACAGCGTTTTACTAACGCTGAGTAAGGCGTTAAATGGACAGTGTCACTTCGAAGGGTAACGTTGATACTGGCGTGTAAGAGCCGCACTAACCATTTAGACTCAATCACGTTCAATCATGACTCAACTATGCCAATTGTATCGCATCAACATGTTCGCTCTCGCTCCTCTCTCTCTCTTTTTCTCCCCCCCCCCCTCTCCTCTCTGTCAAATGCCTATTATAGCGTACATAGTAGCAAGGAGAAATGCACGCATTTTATATTGAAAAAATTCTTAATTTTGAAAAATTCTCGATATATTCTTCTACTTGGCATAAGGTACAATAACAAATATATAAATTACTATAAATCTGTAATAACAGCAGAAGTCAATCAGGTATAACAGTTTGTAATTCGGAATGCAACCAGCTCGTCCAATCAGAAGATGCTTCCTTCTCTAGGGTAACTTCTTGAAAAACTTCACTTCTTTCCACCTAAATATATAATCATATGTAAAAATATAATTTTATCTATGTATTCGTTATTTAGATAGTTATTTCTGTTAAAATGACTAGAGTATGCTGCATATACTTATTAACTAATTTATAGTCGAATTTATTTTCTAGAGTCCAAACAAATGTTAAATTAAGATGACTACATTGAATCATTAAGATCAAAGAAATTTTGAACTTGTTAGTTTATCAATATTAAACACGCGACGGAATATCATCCTGTTCAAACCCACCTCTCGAAAACCGAGTTTCTCAAACATTCTTATGCTCACTGCATTGTCTAATTTGATTTTGGCCCAGAATTTATCAACGTTCAACGTTTCGGCGCCTGTTACGAAAGTATAATATATAAATAAATCATTATAACTGTGCTAAAATCTCATAATCGTTATCACACGAATTACCATAGAGTAACATTAAAATAACGGATTCCCAGCCCCTCCTTTTGCCTCGACTAGCCTCGTCGGCTATCATAATTTCGATTTCACCAATGCACAGTCCCTGTGAATTCTGGAGGAACAGATTCGTATCCCCTATCATGGCATCTGAAATGAATTGGTCAAAGGAGAAATTGAAAATCACAGGTAGTGAGTAATGCATACCTACTTCATTTCCGGTCAACAGGTAGATGTATTTATTCAATACAATGAAAGTGCACTCTGTAACGTAAAATGATACAAGTCACATAATGTAACATTAAACGCAAGTAATTGATATGAGTTACTATCAAAACTAATAAAGTAAAGCATTGGTGTTTCGAGGCCCTTGGCTAGTTTAGATAATTATTATATGAGTTACAATAAAAACTAATAAAGCATTGGCATTTAGAGGCCCTTGACTAGAGAATTATTACATGAGTTACTATAAAAAATAATAAAGTAAAGCATTGGCGTCTAGAGGCCTTTACTAGTCTAGATAATTATTATGAGTTACGATAAAAACTAATAAAGTAAAGCATTGGCGTCTAGAGGCCTTCGCTAGTTTAGATAATTATTATATGAGTTACTATAAAAAATAATAAAGTAAAGCATTGGCGTCTAGAGGCCTTTGCTGGTCTAGATAATCACATACTGTCTTCGTCTTCCAACCACCGTTTTTGCATCATAAACTCTTCCTCCAGCGTCAATGGTTCGGAGCTCGTTAAATACTGCAAGCTGGGACTTTTCATCCATTCGTGATATCTAAACGTGATTTTCAAAAAAAAAAATCGTATCAATCGCAATGCATTGGATTAATAAAATATTAAATATTAGGAACAGATAGTTTATACACGAATCGTTCAGATACGAACTTTGTGACATGCTTCTCTTGATAGGGTACCAAAATGACATTTGTCCCACTGATACGCGTGTTCATGTTCTTCCTCATTATCGACAAAAATTAAAGGTACGAATTCAATTAAAAATTTATTTACACACTTTTTAACACATAAAATATTCTGCGATCGGAAGAAAGAGGTTACGTTTTCGATGATTGAAATCTCGTAAACATGAGATCCGCACTTTGCAGCTGAACTGTCTACACTTTCAATCTTTTATTCTTTTCTCTCTAACGTCTAAATGTAACATACATGCCTGTTTCGTTCTAAAGTGTAGAAAATGTAATGTGGTTCAGCAGGTGCAGCTACAAGAACAGACCTGTAATTTCTAAAGGCATCGCTCATGCAATAGCAAGACTAGATTTTGCATTTCGATTGCGGAGTGCGATCCTATTTTTTCCTCTTCCTTTCTTATCGGCAGATTAATTGGGGTTGACGAGATCGGCCTCTCAAAAATGCATTTCACGAGTATGATTCTATTGTTGGAGGAAAAAGTAATAAGCCTGTATAAAAAATATCTTTAGATAAAAGAAATGTGATCCGGTGTATCCGCTCTTTGACACCGGAGACATCGACATTTCGACAGATGTCGCGACGATAGCAAGTCGCACTCGGCAACAACTCTGATTGGCTGACTCGCCAGTCCTTTCGCCCAATAATAATCTTAAGATGGTTTGACATCTTGTCAAGCGAAGCGGGCCACGCTTGGGTACGTACGCGGGCAAAGCAACCGCGTGCCCGACTGCCTTGACAGACAGATAGAAGAGACGGGTATATAGAAGCATCGAGCTGGGAGCATCGAGACAAAATAAACGGGGGAAAAAGCCTGGAACGGACGTTTCACGTGCAAGTAAGTGTTATCTCGTATTTCTTTAGCTGTGCGACGCGAGGACGGGGACGCTGCGTCGGCCCGCGAAAGCCCACATAAATGTCCCGACCACGCGGTTTTGTTCACTGACAGGCGGCCTAGCTGTCATGGTGAGAGCCTCCGTTCTTGGGCGCGTGCTCGTTAGATTTTTGGCATTTCGCGTCCCCCGGCAAGTGGCGGGCGCGCTGAAATATTTCGACGTTGAGTCGAGCACGACGCGATAACGAAGGACGACGCGGTATTCCTCGTTCGCGTGCCGCGTCGGCCCGACATTCGCGCTGACTTTTGACCGATTGCTCTCGTGTTCTCTGACAGATCCGTTCGAGACGAGACGCGAGTGTGTAAACGGCGACCGGCTGAAGACCTGGCTGGAAGCCTCAGACCCATCCGCAGTATGAATCGCGGACGCGACCGTGTCGGTGAGTAGACAATTTTCCTTCGCTCGGCAGACGCCGTTTTATAACGCGCCTTATTATTAATGTGACATGTGCCTCGTGGTGCCGCGGCTGCCGCGCGCGCGCGCGCGCGCGCGTGCTCGCTTGCTTCGCGCCATCACCTATAATACACTTATATATTTCGCATGGTCGCATCGGCGCGCAAATTTTGCCATTGTGAGACCCGTCGAGTGTGTGGTAAATTTTATTACAAGCTTCGCGTGAGTTTCGCTCCATTTTGCCATCATTCAACGTGAATCCTCATGTCCCTTGGCTATCTTGTTCGAGTTTTCTTTCCTTTTTATTTTATTTTTTTTTTTTTTATGAAACTTGTCTTTTTGTATTGAATATATGATTGTGTATTTTGTAAAAAACTTTTTTTAATTTTCTATGAATCGTTGCTTAGCCATCGTCATCGCTTGACCATTATTTTTACCCTTTTAAGCCGGATCGGCATTTACCTTTTTGGCTTTTTAAGCTGCAAACGTAGAACCTTCTTGTCAACTACGTACGCCATTCACATTTAAGCATTAAATTTATATTTTATTTCGCGCGGAATGTGTTTGTAAACGTCACGAAAAAAAATACGCGCAGCAAGAAATCGGCTCGTCGTCAATAGCTCGAAGCGTGCTTCAATTTTTTTTCATCGGCACACGGCGATAAAAAAAGTGAGCATTCCTTTTTTTTCTCATCTTGTTTCAAATTTTTCATGTTATGTTTTATCTGTTATTTCTCATCAACAAAGTTAAAAATACCGAAATTTATAATATCTGAAAATTCCTTACGGCACTTCTATAATTTTATTCATCCGGATTTTCTTTTCTCAGGCTACATTTCAAACGTTGCTTCCGAGGAAAATTTTGCTAAAAATTTACATTACATATATCCTATAATTTTTTAGTAAAATTGTCCTTGAAAGCAACATTTTGAAATGTTATAGTCTTTTAGAGAAATAAAACTCACAATCAGAGAAAGGAAATCAGATAGGAATTCTCAACTTGTTCGCGTTGAAAAAATTGCCCTAAAAATGTTTGCACTTATAAAACGATAAATCTGTATTCGAGCATGCGACAAACTTGGAACCTTATTTTCAAAGTTTCGCAAAAATACTAGGAAAATCTATAGATTTCTCTAACTTTTCTGGAGTGAATCTCGATCACTTAAGACAATTTAGAGAGATAATATATGTATATGCAACGTAACTATAGAATTTTCGTAAGTTCGTACGCGAAGTTTCCCCTAGCTGCATGCAAAGGCTTTGCCATCAAAAGAATCCGACAATTGTCGCATTGAGACAGGGTGACTGCTTAAAGCGAAACGACTTACTTATTTCAAATCAAAGGAATTTTTCTTTCCTTCGATTGTCCTTATATTTTCTATCGCTATTATATTCCAATTTTATATTTCTATTCTGTTTCTATACTTCTATTATTTTTTTCTCGTTAACAAAGCGCAGACTTTATAATTCTTCAAAATTGAGAATGGTTTTTTTTAATGGTTCTCACACATTCGGTTCGTTTGTTTTTTTAAAGGAGAGAAATTCTATCAAAAGAAAAACCTGTAGAATCATCGAACAAATTTTATTTCGAAACGTAGATACGAAGCTTTATAGAGTTTTATAGAGAGAATTTCCTTTTAAAATTTAGCCTGAAAATTTTGTTAATCGTAGGACAACAAAAAGGAGAGAAATTCTATCAAAAGATAAACCTGCAGAATCATCGAACAAATTTTATTTCGAAACGTAGATACTCTATAGAGTAATAAGAGAATAAATTTTAAAAGGAAATTCTCTCCGTGTAGTATTTATTATATACATACGTTTAAAAACTTAAATTTTCCTATTGCGCGATGTTATTCATTAGCGGCGTTAATTTTGAAACAAGACATTTTTCCGACCGAGTATCAAAGAATGAAAATCCTTGAAGAGATAATAATTCTCGGCAACTCGTGTTTCGTTTGCTTAAGTATTATTTATCTAGATATTAGAGATTTCAAAGAAAAAGCAGCCTCGTTTTTCTAGAGAAACGCTGAAAGAATGTGCATACGACTATAACGATGAACAGGGACGAATTATCATCATAATACAATTGAATGCGTTTTTGCTCCGTGTTTGCATTCGCTTCATGTTTGCCTTTGTTCCTGGCTCTATTCACACGGACGACCAAACGTCTCTTTACGTCTTCTATCGGGTTTATTTAGCCTCTAAAGAGAGACGCGCAGAGCCTGGGGAAGCGGGCAGGGGAGATACATACATATATCCCAGGAATCAAAAGTTCAATTCTTCCGATAACACTCTCGTCGTCTTCATGACGCAACGGATCTGTTCGTTTCAGCTGCGTTTTTGCGTTCCTTACGCGACTAAAACGAAATGAACGAAAATTGCTAAATTTAACTTGCTATTTTGTAACATAATAATGGATAAAGTGAAACAATTTTCCTGCAACATTTCATTAGAAGAAACATTTTTATATAGTGTGCAAAAGAAAAATATACATATTTATAATTTAAAAATAAATACAAAAAGTAGTTTATAAAAAAAAGAGAGAGAAACATAAAAAAGACTGACAATTGCGTAAGTCGCACGATAATCGAGAGGCGCTTTTGAAATTTAAAAGTATACTTTTTAACATTATAAATAATTATATCTGTGCCTGAAGAATCTTTTTTTTTTTTTCATGAAAATGGTCGTGCAGACCGAGATTTTTTTAATGTAAAGTAAATCATTGAATCGTGCAGTCAGATTTTCAGCTTTTTAAAAGAATAAATATATTTTAATTTTACAAGTTTATAAATTTATATTCTTTTTGCACTGTATATGTATTCAGCTACGGAATATTTCATAATTTTCTACTGCAAAGATAATTATATAACGTTATTTTTTGAAGACAAATAGGTAAAAAGTAACAAGTTTTGAAATACTTAAAAAAAAATATTAGACAAATATTCTTATCTGTCATCTCGGATACTGTTTCATATGTCAGTTTTTTTGTGTATTATGGTTAAATCCTGCAGGTTTAATTTAAAGAATGCATACAATGGAAGGGCGCACATTCTGACTTTTTACTTTTTCATGAATAAACATATATGTAATAGGGGAGGCTGAAATCCACAGACAGCTTTTCCTGCAGAAACACGAATCAGTCTTTTTTTTTATATACTAAGATAAGTGAAAAGCTCGGTGAAAAGTAAGGCAAACAAATCTATGCCGATTTGTCTGCATGTCAGAGAACAATCGCAGGTAGAACATCTTCCGAAAGATCAAAAAGATACAGTCAGATAACTTAGTTAATTAACTGAATAAAGATTTTCAGTTAACATATTCTCGAACTACTTTTCCTCTCTTTTCGGTAATTTCGGAACTGTCAGTCGAATTCGTTTCTATTAAAAGAGACAGTCTTGTTTATCTTCGATAAGGGATATCTTCTCTTAGTTGGATTTTAAGATGTTATTTGAATAGCGTGTCCTCTCTTACGAGGAAAGCATTTAATTTACCCTGTTTATCTTCTATTCTATTTTATCTTGTCGAAACTTTTGAAATTATTTCGAAAAATTATATATACATAAATCTTGTGGAATCACGTAAAAAATAATTATGTAGACATTTCTTGCGTCTTCGGGGATTAATTTCAGTAAAATCGAGAGCGAGGGGATAAGTTAATCCGCGCGGGATCCGATTTTCAGGTAATGCCATTAAGGAGGAAAAGAAAGAGTGAGAGATTGATTCACATAATTTATTATGCGCTCTAAGGCTGTCTCCTAAAGCAGAGAGAGAGAGAGAGAGAGAAGGAGAAGAACCATAAGATCTAGTTATAGTCTAAGATTAGCAAGTTTGTAAAGTGGGGCGCGTGCGTTATCTAGCCCTGGTTATTGGCCGGTGGCGCGAGCGCGTCGAGTGAGAAAGGCGGACGAAAGAAATTGCGTAATGCGCGCAATATGTAATTGCGATCGAAAGAGAGAAAGGGAAAAAGTCCGGTTCTCCGTCTGCGTGTCTCCTTCGTTCGTTTAGCAGCGTGTTATTTCGGCGCGCACGTCTAGCTGGTACACTCGCGCCGCTGCTCGTTCATCCGACGCGACGGCCGCATTTTGTCATTTCGCGTCCAACTGCACGCATCGCTTCTTCCATATCTCGTACTTTCCCATGGATTATCCCGGCCGCGGTCAACCTTGAGCGGCCGCCGTGTTCTCGACTTCGCGACGATACGCGTCGCAATGTGGCGGCGACGTGATAAGCCGCGCGCGCGAC